GGTGTGTGCTCACTGTCATTTTAAATTCACGGCCAGAGATCTCCAGGGCCGTTTCAGCCTGCCTGCAATCTTAGCACACATTCCTTATTTGAGGTCTTGCTCTCCAAAACTGCTGTATCAAATCCCCTCTTCTCAAGTCTAGGTGCTTCCCCCAGCTCAGGGCTGGCCTTACCAACTGGCTTGTGGAGGGAACAGAAACCGTGGTCCAAGCTTCTCTCCTCACCCGCCAACACATCTGCCCACACACCTTCGGGCGGTTTTCCTGCTAGGTGTCTCTTCAGCCATCCCTTCCTCCTGCTCCTTCTGGGGTCAAGTTACTCTTGGTGGAAGTTTGGGAAGCTTTGAAGAAGTCTGGGAATCCTGGTCCTGCTGGTGTGACCTCCAATCTCTGACTAGCCCCTGGCTTTTCACAGGAGACATCTGTGAACAAGGCCCAGTCAAGGGAAATGATGTTACTGATGGAGTGGGAGGATGTGTCTTTGTGCCCCTAAGATGGTGTGGCCGGGGAGGCCTGGAGACTAGATCGAGACCCCGCCGTGGATGGGATGGACTCTGGAGGATCGGTGTGGGGGATGCTGATCTGAGAGTCCAGTCTGGGGGTAGACCAAGGAGGGGTCCTTTCCTCTTCCCTCTCCCAGGGGCTAGGAGACCAGGACCCTACGGAATACACTCTGGGAGGCCAGGCAAGGTGACTCCGGTCGATTGGGTCCCTGGGAACAAGTCAGGGCCGTGGATCGCAGAACTGGGGCACAAGGTGGGTATGGGGTGTCAGAATGAGGCCAAAGCCCAGTTTTCAGAACTAGGACAGTCTCCATGTGGGACTTGTGTCCTTTACATCCTTCCAGCATAAATCCTGGGAAAGGGGGCGTGTCTGCATCTGGGACCTGGACGAACCTATCAGGTGAGGGGGGACATTTGGAGGTAGGTGAGGCTTTGGGGCAACCCGGAGATAGGCACCCCCTTGGCCTTTGCCTACTGCCCCACCCCAGACAGCCACCTTCTTCCGGCCTGGCACATCCCCACCCCCCGGGGAGCCCCACCCCTACAAAGAAGAGCCTCCGAGTAAACAGCATGTTTATTGTGAACATTCAAATTTACAAAAACAAAAAGGTAACAAAAACCATGACATAGATCATACACCCACACACGCACACACATCCACACACGTTGTATCTCACATCACTATGTACAAAATAGGGCGAGGAGAAGGGGGAAGGAGAGGGTGGGGAGGGTCTTCGGGGGTGCACTGGGGACAGTACCGGACAACCTGACATGCTTACTCGCTGTTCAGCCTGGGCCGCATGAGCCTTCCCCACCCAGCAGGGTCAGGAGTCAGAGCGGGAGGTGGGGTCTGGGGAGGCAGGCAGTTGGAATAAAGGGGTAAAGAGACTGATCCCACTTTTAGGAGGGGACTCCACCCCGTTGTGCTCCAGCCAAGGGAGCTGGAACTCATAAAAGCAGGGAAACCCAGTTCTGGAGGAGACTGAACGCAGTCAGAAAGCTGGGCTCCCTGTGTCCCCATGTCCTAGCTCGGGGCCTTCCCTGGGTCTCAGTCCCCTCACCTGCACACAAGGACCTCCTTTCTCTAAGAACTGCCCTGCCCATTGGTGGTCCTGGGTCATGCACAGTCCCAGCGAAGGGATGGCCATCCCCTTGGGACGCTGGGGGGGGGACCGCATGTCACACAGTGGGAAATCTGGCAGGTAACAGCTGTGAAGCACCTGGCGTGGGGCTTGGCCCAAAGCAGGGTTTGAGGAGGGGCCCTTTCCCTCCCCTTCCCTGCTGGGACTCCAGGGAGGAGTGGGGGCGGGGCATCCAGCTGCCTCTTCCCTTCCAGCTCTTCTGGAGATCCAGTGGAATTAGGGAAGTGTGGAGGCTGGGGCACACAGCAGAGAGGAGGCCCTTCCTGCAGGTTTGCCAAGGACCCCTGGCCTGGGGCCTGCTCACCCACGCCTGATTCTCTACCTCAGACTCCATGAGGGGGAGGGACACACCAGGAGCCTCGGGGCCCAGTCCTATTGTACACATGGAGTTTTGGGGTGCTTGTCCTCTCGGGTTGAGGGGTGCACCCTGGATGGAGCCTGCTTTGGTTTAAAATCTGGGCTCCATCACTGGCCGGCTGATTGGCCCCAGGAAGGTGACTTCACCTCTCTGTGCTGTGTGACAGGGCTAAGAATAGTGTTAACTTGGAACTGTGCTGAGGATAACCGAGCGACGCTGGTGACTGGCTCACCACGGGCACATGGACGTGCACCAGGGCAGCTCCTCTGGCCTCGTCTTGTCGGGTGTGCCTGGGAACAGCAGCGCAAGGTGTCAAGCCAGAGTCTGGACAGCAGGTGCTTGTCACATGGAGCGATAAACAGATGGAGAGGTGGAGGCTTTGGAAACGGGGAGCCAGGCCCCTCACCAGAACCCACACCCCAATGTCTCCGATGTGTTCCTGTCCCTTCCGGAGGGCTGACCAGCGTGACTCAGCATGGGAACAGGCTCAGACGTCTCAGCAGCACCGTGACAAGGCATAAAGGACTTGGGGTGGTACCTCTGAGGACTGAGTGACCAAGCTAGCTCTACCACCTCCCTCCTAAGGCTCCACCTTCCCCAAGGCTGCCGTGAATGCCCTCTCCTTCAGGATAACAGAAACCCAAGAAAACTCAGTGCCTGCGACAGCTAAGTTCTGAATTCTGCCGTCACCCCAGCAACAGCGCGCGTCATGATGATGAGACACTAGACCCATCACTCAGGCTGATGTCATCGGCTGTTACCAGGACAACCCAGATCAGGCAGTCGGAAGCCCGCCATTGCTCTTTCTTGGTAGGGGGAGGGAGTTGGACTGGAGGTGCTGAGCAACTGTTTGTGCTCTTGAAATGGAAACTAGGATCTGGGGGCCTGAGGCAACAAGTCTTGGAGAAGTTTCCATGGCACTGAGCCCTGCAGGCTGCAGCTCTTACCTTACCTCTTGGCTAAGGGCTAAAAGTGGCCGTGGGGAGGGGAGACAGGGAACAGAGAGGGGGCAAGAGGCACCATGCCCACCTGGGTAGGAAGCCTGCAGCTGCTCAGACAGCCAGTAGGTGACCTGTGTCCCGGCTCTCCACTCTGCCAGGACACCCAGGGATCATATCCCTCCTTCCCTACCTCCTGGGGGCGGGGAGCCTGCCAAGATGTTTGGATGCTGTAAAGAAAGATGTTTCAGGTGTCATGTTGGAGAGTGTCCTGACCTCTCAAATGTCCACCCTCTTAGGTGCAGGCTGGATTCAAGACCCTGAAGGTAGGCAGTATGGTGTGGGGGTAGGGCACTGATGAGTCCGAGCCCTGGGTTCTAGTCCTCGTCAAGCTGTGTGATTCTGTGCAAGTCACTGGCCCTCTCTGAGTTCTCCCCATCTCTCATAAGACAGAGCTCAGACTGGATGGCTTTCCCCAGCTGACAGTTTTGCTCAGGGAGCTGCTGAGGACTCAGTAGTGGGATCGGGAAGCAGGAAGACACCAGCCCTTTGAGATACTTGCACAGGCAGGCATGCCAGGCTGAGAGAGCCAGACGGAGCTGGATGTTAGAGTCTGCATGTGAGATTGGTCTGTCTTGAAGCCTGCCTTACCCTAACTCTCTGGCTCTGACCCTAACCCAGGCCTAGCCTTATCCCATCTGCTGCCCAGTCCCAGGACCTGCTCCTGCAAGTTCCTGGTGGGGTCATCGGGTGGGTGCTCAGGCTTTGCTGTCCTGTCCACCTGGAGTGACTGACCGTCTCACTCTCATTTAGAGAGCTCTTGAGAGTGACCAAGGCAAGGCCGCAGCTCACATGAGAAAGGTCAGGCCCAGAGAGGGCAGGGCCTAACAGAAGGCCACACAGCAGGTTCATAGCAGGGCTGGCTAGGGACCAAGGGCCCCTCTCCCTCCCAGTGCTCTGCCTGTCATTCCTGTGTCTTGCCACCGTCTTCTTCCTTCCTCCCCAGGGTCATGCAGAGTGGGTAGGCAACTTGGCTCTGCCAGAAATAGGGTCTCTGGAATCTCAGAGCCTCTGCCTTAAGCTGCTCCCAGCCCAGAATGAAGTGGCCCAGGCCCTGTCCTGGGTGCAGAAGGGCAGGGGTGACTGGACCAGTGGGCACAGTCGTGGGTGGCTGAGGAGTGACTGTGGCCCTTTGGCCTCCTGGGGTCTTGGTTCCCAGCCCTCCAGGCTGGAGTTGAAAAGGAAATGTCCTAGAAACTGAGGGGGCTGGGCCAGGCATGGAGCCGACATTCAAACCACTGACACAAAAATGAGGGAGGAGGAGGACAAGGGAGGGTGTAGGCAGGGTGGGCGGCTCCATCAGGATCTGCTGCCCTTGGCTGATAGCTGGCCGGAAGATGGAAAGGTAGTCTGAGCGCTTGCCTCCTCCCCTTCCACAGCCTGGTGGGGCCAGGCCTGCTCCAGGAGGGCTTGGGGGGCAGCAGCTACCCCAGCACTGAGCTAGCAGGCCCTCTCACACACCACCCATGTGGGGTGCTTCAGAGACTAGTGGGATCAGACTTGGCTGACGGGCAAGGTGACAGATGCTCCAGTGGAATGGCAGGGGCATGGCAGAGCCTGGACTCACCCCAAGCTTGACCAGTTGACTTGAGATATTGTCCTCATCCAGGTGGGATTAGAGGACACCCATCCCAGGGCAGAGCACTCTGAAGGTATGGGTCTAGGGGAGTGGAGACAGGAGGCACGGCCAGGGTGGGGGTACGGCAGTAACATAACACTCCCTTATTCTTGGCCCACATGGGAAGGTCCCAGGTTCACCTTTGGGGGGGTCCTCCTGTCCACACCAGGTACACAGGTGTGTGCCTATGATCCGGGCTGGCCAAGATGGGGGTGGACTAGAGAGGGCAGACCCAACTGGGGGGTGCCTCTCTCTCTCTCTCTTTCTCTCATGGAGGAAATGAAGCAAACTTAAAGAAAAAGAGAAAGTGTATGTTACTTTGGAGAGGCAGAGAGAAGGAAAAGGGAGGGAGATAGATTTTAAAAAGGAAGGAAGAGAGGCGAGGGAGGGGTCCAGATGAGGTGGCCCCTCATGCCTTGGCCCTCCCCTTGCAGACATCGAAGGTGGCCTTTGTTGCACCCCCAAAGGCCTCCACCAGCTTGTCTTCCCAGGGGACCACGTTGCCCAGCAGCGGTGCAGTACAGTTGGCAATGCCCAGGACCTGGGTGGGTGTCAGGGCGTGGTCCCACAGGTTAAACTGAGCGATGTCACCAACGAAGGCCTGGGTGGCATCAAACCGGCCACCCAGGGTATCCTGGGCAGAGACAGCAACAGAGAAAGGAGATATGGAGCAAGAGAGCAGGAAAGGTGGCGGGACAGGCTCGGAGTCAGAGCCCTGTACCCCTGAAGTCCCACCTCAAGGGTCCAGTCCCACCCCCATGGTTTCTGCTCTCTCTGGGCTCAGTCTGCCCATCTGCAGAATGGTGGACCTGGACTGAAGGATCACAGCTGTCTTCAGTGCCCTCTGCCCAGCTCCTGCTCCTCAAGGGTCCTGGGCAGGTGGGATAACTACCCCTCCAGACCCAGTCCCAGCCCAAGCCTTACCTGCTCCTGGCCCAGGATAAGGATGCCATGAGGCTTGATGGGATGCCAGGCTGCCAGGTTCTCGCCGGAGCCCTGCAGCTCCCCGTCCTGGTAGGCAGACCATAGGCCATCCCGTGTGGTCCAGGCGATGCAGATGTGGTGCCAGCCTTTGTCCTTCAGGCTCAGGGGCAGCTGGGCCACCTGGACACAGGCCCCCCAAGCCCAGGTCAGAGGTGCCACAAGGTGGCATGTCTCCCTGAGCACCCTGCCTCTCCTTTCCCCACCACCTAAGCAAGCAGCCTAGATCAGATCTCAAGGGACTGGCCAGTAGTTTCCAGGTCAGTTCATTCTAACAGGCCTCAGGCCCTGTGGATGGGGCAGTGCATTGCAGCCTTATCTGCCCTTGACCCCTTCTTACCCTGCATGGCTCACAGCTGGACTCAGGGAGTGCTGGTAGAATGGGCCTTGGACTCAGGGGCTGGGCACTGGCATGCGGCCTCAGTTCGGCCACCCACCCTTGTGTGACCTTAATGAGGCTGCTCTGCCCTCCCTGGGTCTTGGTCAGACAAGGGATAGCAATGGCATAGCCACCACCCTTTCCTCCACCCTCAGCAGACATGGCTAATCAATCAAGCTGTGAGCCCAGACTTGTCAGCTCAGACTTGTCACGGTACCCTGGGAAGTCACTACTGATTGATTAGAGCTTGTCTAGGAGATGAAAGGCACTTGCTGTCTGGATTTGGTGGTCTCGAAGGGCTCTTCCATCTCCTAAGTTCCCTGAAACCACAATGTACTACCGTGCTCTGAGGCCTAGTTGGTGTAGGGATCTGGTCCTTGGTTTTTGTTCGTTTTGTTTTGTTTTGCTTTGCTTTGCTTTTTTTTAGGTTTTTACCCTAGAGCATGTGTGCTTGCCAGAGAAAGACAGAGAGGGGAAAAGTGAGAAATCCCGAGGGGAGTTGGCCCCATCACAATCCCTTCTCCTCCGTTCTCTTGGGATTTTGGACATGCACACCCATGTGCCCAGTGTGATTTTCAAGTCACCAGGTCCAGGGCTTGAACCATAGTTGGCCATGTGGGAATCCAGTGCCTTAGCCTTCCTGTCACTCTTTATCCCGTTGCTAGGCAACTCAAGTGGTGGCACAGCGTGAGCAAAGGCTTAGGAGCCATCAGGACAATAGTGAGCAGCCCTTGAATGGGCTCTCTCCAAGAGTTCCAGCTCGAGCCCTGTCCATGGTGCTGAATCCCTTCTAAGGAGAACTGGGTGCTGATCTGAGCAAAAGTAGAGAAGGGAACGGTGACATATCAAAAAGAAGGAGGAGGAGGAGGAGGAGAAGGGAACGGTGGAGGATCTCGATGGTATCTGGCTACCCTGGTGATCTCATGATCACAAGAGAAATCCACCGTCCCCGGGACCCAGCTCCTTCCTTCTCCAGGACACCCAGGAAAGGCACAGCCTCCTGAGCTGGGTTCTGATGGCTGTCAACCACTCCTAGTGGCTCTCTGTGGCGGTGGGCTGGTCACAGGTGGGTGCGATATGTGGGGTCTGCATTTCCAGGGGTCTCAGAAGACCACCATGGCTACAAGACCCAAAGCAATGTGGTGGGAGGGGCAGAACTTTGTGGGGAAATGAAGGTGATAAGCGTCAGCACCCTAGAGCACCATTCTCCTGCCAAGTCACTCCCCTATCCAAGGCCTGTCTGTGACCTGCTGTCCAGCCAGGTTGAGGGAGGGTCTGGGAATGGGAGGCCTGAGCATGAGAAAGAGGGGGGCCTGGGGCAGAACAGGGGAAGAACTAAGGTTAAGAGGTGGTTTCTGGAGTCCAAGAGTCCAGATCACAGCATCCCTCTTCACCAGCCGTGTGGCTGGGTGCATATTTCCCCTCTGAGCCTCAGCTTCTCTGAAACGTGGATAACGAGGGCACCTAGCGCCTGGTGCCATTGGAAAGGCGAGGATGATGAGGTGAGCAAAGTGCTCGTTAGCACGGTGCTGGCGGAACAGAGACAGCTCACATTCATGCGTGCTCGTGAAATGCTGAGCTCGGCTCAAAGCCCTGTAAGCAAATTTCAGCCACTTCTTTCTCACAACGACCCTGTCAGATAGGGAC